CGTGTTTGTTTTAATAACAGCCCTCACTTGACTCAGCACAAATTTTTAAAGCAAACCTTTTTTTAGTAGTTGTTTAACAGTGATGGAACGATTTACCATTCCAATTAAATCAAAATTAAACTTGTAATTGGATTGTAATTAGCTTTGAGAAGCGGAAACATATGCATAAGCATGATATAAAACCATAGATGATTGGGTTTGTGGCATGATGAGGGAAAGCTTTATTATACCAAATATCTTTCATGACATTTTCATGATAGAGCTAGACGTAGATAGAGAACGATCCATGAACCAACGAAAGGGGGTGGATTACGTTTTAAGCAAAATAACACACTGAAGACGGCGAAATTCCGATCCATAAAACCGATAAAAGCAAGACCCTAAACATGAAATCACAAAATATTCCATACTCAAAAAAATTACATATTTACTTACTATTTACTTAGTACATATTTACTGTATCTACGTAAAAACAAGAATACCTACTTACAACCCTAAATCTAGTTTAACTAAACTGATATGACATAGAACTCTATAAAAAATAAATGAAATATTCAATAAGCAGTAATTTATAACGTGTGTGGTGTTTAGTGATCGTTAGTTGAAGATTATTTGGAGATGTGAGATGCGGTCTGGTGTGACGTAGGTTTAGAAAAACATTTTCTTTATCGTGCCAACATAAATCCAACATCTTCAGGGCCTGGGATTTATAAACCACGCGTGAGTGCCATCTCAAAACGACGCACGATAATGACACATCTACACAGCAAACAAACACTTTGAGCCCTGAAGATGATCTCAATAAAGATCGAAACGTTGTAATGATAAAGAAAATTTATTTCTGAACCTACGTCACACCAGAACGCATCTTACGATCTCCAAATAATTAGTAATTTATAACAATGAATTATTTTGATTTCGAGATAGATCGATGTTTAAGTGGTGAGTAGGTATGAAAAAAACATACTTCCATGTTTAACACTAATTAAACTAGGCTGATATGACACAAAAATACATAAAAATAAATAAAATATTCACTCAATATTTACGTACAACAATGAACATAATGTTTTAACCGGGAAAGAAGGCATACACGTTGTAGCACATAGCAACCTTAACATTTGTTAAACAAAACTGATAAATTATAGAAATTCGATAAACACATATTCAATAAGGATTTGTGTACAACAATGAACGATTTTGGTTTCAAGTTATATCGGTGTTTTAATCGGGTAAGAAAGCATGCACGATGTCTAGTTCAAAAAACCATGCACACTTGTGACCTCACTAACTCAAATAATCTGATCTATCGTATAAAATCCTTAAAAACAAATTAAATGTTCAGTACAGACTATGTCTCTATCAGAGAACAATAAACTAAAGTCCATTATATTTGGTAATTTTGTTTATCGCCTGTTAAAATTTCGTCAGGTAGTATAATCGCTAGTGCCCACGTGTCAAATTAAAGTGCGAAACACATATCTGCACAATATGGCAAATGATCAAAATAGTATTGGCGGTGGTCAGGATTTGGCCCACACGTGGTGACGGTATGGGATCGACTGCGATTTTTTTTTTTTTTAATATATGCTTCAATAAAATATCATCTTTTCACACGATAATCTGGTGCTTTATTGTTGCAAATAAACAACAAGAACTTGAGAAGAATAACAAGAAAAAAGAAAATGTAAGAGTGATTTCATGATAAAAAGTAAACAAAAGATTTATGGTGTTTAAAATGTAGACAAAAGTACGAATCTTACCCAATTTAAAAACATTTTAAAAGCTCAATTTATTGTGGAATAATTTTATGTCTGCAGGATGAAGAACGTCTTGTCAGTTCAAAATGTTAAATTCATTACAAACCAGTATGTACGAAGACTTTGCTCAAATATTTAATGTTGTTTTGGCTATTTCGGAATGTCCTGTCAGCAGCTATTTTAAGCTTATGCTTTTGTAAGTTTATACGGTTTGTCACAATGCAAATAGAAAATAAATCGTTTGTTAAAAAGGTTTAATGAAGAGTAACAGCCATTCTGCACGGAACTTTTTTTTATGAGCCATCTGGTTATTCAAAAGAGATAAACAAATAAAGATTAAATGTTCGTGACTTCATTGAAGAATTCATAAGAAAATATCAACTGGAAAGATAATTATATGCATGTTCAATGATTAAAAGAAACTGGCTAAAAATTGCAAACGATTTTTGGCAATTTAAATAAAAGCGTAAACAAGCGACCGAAGGCTCGCTCTTTATCAAAATAACCCTGTGATTCGCTTTTCATATTTTCCAGAAAAAAAATGTTATTGTATGAATTATCCGAAAGCTTATCGCCCAGCCGGACGTTATCGATAAAAGATTAATGTATAAAGAAAAAACGCAGAAGGGTTTGAACATGAGTCAGAGGGACGTGCCACAATTGAACAATGAAAACAATTACACCTGTGACAAGTGGACTTAAATGTAATTCAAAACCAATAGAAAATATTGAAAAGTGATGTGACTTAAAAATGTTTACAACTCTGAGGTGCGGTACAAAAACTGGGAATAATATTTACAAACCCATTTTTACCGAATTACATCAGCAAATGACCAAGAATATTCAATGGTGCTTTATCAAAATTTATCAAAGTAATTTTTAATTTTCAAAAAACTTTGTTTTGTTTTCCTCAGAAAAAATTAATAAATACGTAATTAGTTTACAATCACATTAAAACCTTCATGGCTCAATTTACAATAAGCATAGGCATTAAGAAAGTAACGACCATTTTTATAACCAAAAACAATAATTTTCTATACATACAAGACTACAAGCCGTTTTTGTATGGAATGAAACTAGTCTCATGGAATTCCGAGCTTTAGAGTTGCTTCAAATGATTTTTTGAAAGTTGCGAATCATGTGTCCTGGTGTATCTCGCTTTCATGAATTCTTCATCCTTTTCGCCGTTTCCTCTTCTTTGATTTGTATTCTGTGTCAAAAACTACCTTATAAACTAAAGATTCAACTACCTATTGAAGGATGAATTTGATGTGTAATTTATTCGACTTCGAAGTCACAATAGCACAAGTGGTTACAGCAGCGGCGTATTGAGCCGAAGGTCGTGGGTTCGAATCCCGTTCGTGACACTAACTTTTTCATCTCAACCAAGATCTTACATAAAAAGAATAATAATTAATTTGGTCAATTAGACCAGTTAAGTTTAACGTTCATGTTGGTTAAATTGTGCGGTAAAGGGAAAAATTCTAGCTAGATCGTTTCTCCTCAAAAGTCGCAACATTTTTCTACAGAAGCCTTCATCATATTGAAACGATTCTTCTTTCGATTTATAGAAGAATAACAGGTAAAACTGATCCACAAGATTGAGAAGTGATTATTATTTTTTAATGTGTATTTAGTGACCGTTGATTAATGATTATTTGGAGATCGTCAGGTGCGGTCTGGTGTGACGTAGGTTTAGAAAAACTTTGTCTTTATCGTGCCAAAGTTTTGATCTTTATTAATTCCTTTTTCATATCTTACATGTATTTGTATAATTTAAACAATGTTTATAAATCCCAGGCCCTGAAGATGATCTCAATAAAGATCGAAACGTTGGCATGATAAAAAAAATGTTTTTCTAAACCTACATCACACCAGACCTCACCTCATGATCTCCAAATAATCATTATTTTTTATTTTTTTAAAGTTTGAGATAGGTACACTTTTCTCCACAACTCTTCATCATATTGAAACGACTCTTTTCTCGTTTTATAATACAAAAATAGGTAAACCCGAGAGATTCCAAGCTTAAGAACTGGTAAAAATTTTTTTTTTGGAGGGGGGAGTATAAGATAAATGTTTTGATGTATACCAGCCCATCCCTTACGTTGTTTGAAGACCCTCGTCTTTTATGTATTCACTGTATCAAAAACTGTCTTTCACTGCTAAACTACTTCCAACTGCAAGAGGAATAAATACTTTTAGGTATGAATTGGGTGGTAGAGGGAAAAATTCGAGCTCGATGAGAAAATTGTTTCTCTTGAAATATATATATTTTTTCAAATTTCGGTACGCATTTCTCCAGAACACTTCATCATATTGAAAGGGTCCATTTTTTCATTTTATAGACCAATACCTTCATATTATTTCTACCTTTTCTTTTATGTATACACTGTGTCAAAAACTGTCTTTCACACCGACAAAATGATCTATCAACATCCTACATTGCAAGTGAAATAATTTTTTAGGTGTAAATTGAGCAGTAAAGGGAAAAATTCGAGCTCAAATGGATTCTCCTGAAGAGTTGTAATTTCGACACACTTTTCTCTAAAAATAATCATTATACAATAACGATTATTTCTTTCATTTTATATAGCAATAATAGGTAAAAATATTACTGAGTAATGTTCAAATAGACAACCCAGAGGTGGATCAATAATTGTTTTTTGTATAAAACAAGGTGTACAAAATTTTCACAATTTCCTGCCAGATTCAATATTTTCAAAAACACCTGTATTCTAAGTTGATTCAAAAAATAAAATAGGGAAAAAGGTTAGGTTTTAATAGACCAAATAGTTTTTGGGAAAATCGTGATGAAATATAGAAAACTGGAGTGATTCCAAGGAAGCCTTAAGTTAAGTCCAAAGAGCGAACATTGGATAGGGACTTGCGTAAATAGGAATAAGTTGTAGTGTGGTGGTGAAGTGATACGTCGACGGGTGAAGGTTATTTCCAAGGATTTGGTGCCGTTCGTACATCAACTTGACACCCTGCATATATTGATTTATTCTTCTCCTATAGAAAGTCTATAAGTGATTGGTGAACCAAGAGAAGGGCAAGAATTTTAATAGCTGAAGCTTGTAAATACTATCGTGTTATGTGGTTTGGAATAAGTACGAAACCCAGAAAATGAATAAGTATAGCTAGATGTATGTCAGCTAAAAAATATCTTGTGTACCTGGGGTTCAACGCTTTGATCGAACCAAACCTCAGTCTATATTTTATGTGTTAAGTACCTACCTCGTCCGTATAACGCGATGAAGGCTTGCATCAGGAAGTAAACAGCCAAACATGCCTGAGTGGTGTTGATGACGAGGGACCAGTTCGTAAGGTATATCGGCCATTTCAGATAATAATAGACATTCTCTGATTTCTGTAGATCAGCCATTGAAAAAAATACAATGCATAAAAATGTGAGAGCGTGGATCCATCTGTAGACCAAATATAAATAGCTTATTTTCCTTTCGTCACTTTGCCACTGAAAAAACAAAAAACAAAAATAATAAAACCTTAAAATATCTCTGAATGCTTTAAACTTAATTAAAAATGCTTCTTCTAAAATTTATGCAAAACAAAATTTAAAAAACACCCCAACTACCAACTACTTTAACAACAACTATTTTGATCGTTTCTTGGTTCCGCCTAAGCTAATCTATTTTGGTTAGATGTCGGTTCGTCATCATCAGATATGGGTTTGTGTGATTTTTCTTTGATCCTCCTTTACTGATTTGTGTATTCATGCACCCATCTTTATAAAGCGACGTTATTTATCCGAAGTGCCTAAAGCCAGGAACTTACCCGATGCTACGCCATGCGACGCTAACCGATGCTACACGACGCAAATCCAAACTCCGATTTTCCATAAGGTTGCATTACCCCCGTGCACATCTACCCGATGCTACCCGACGCAAATCCAAACTCCGATTTTCCATAAGGTTGCATTACCCCCGTGCACATCTACCCGATGCTATGCCACGCTAACCTACCCGACGCTCTGCGATCCCCACAGTCCAGATTTTCGTCGGGTCGCATCGAGTACAGTCGAAAACAAAAGAACCGGACACTAATATTTTTATTCAAACTACATGTATTATTGTCGTTATATTAATTACAACATACTTGTCTTAACATAAACCAAATTAACTGTGATTAAAAATTAATTAGTTTTTATTTAAAAAATTAATTTTAATGGTTTGGTAGAAAATTAATCAAAACACCGGAATACGATTTTGTGATATAATGAATTTAACTAACAATTTATTGTACTCACTTCGGCGGTACATATACTAAAATTGGAACAATTTATTACACGGTTTTGCTCATAAAATTTAACTAACAATTTATTACAAGGTTTTGCTCAAAATAGTACATTAAGAACAAAAGATGCGTTGCGATTGTGATAGTGATTATTGTGATAAACGCTGTGGACTGTACGCGACGTGTGCTTGCGTCGGATAGATGTGCACACCCCACCAAAACGTGGCATAGCATCGGGTAGATGTGCACGGGGGTAATGCAACCTTATGGAAAATCGGAGTTTGGATTTGCGTCGGGTAGCATCGGGTAGCGTCGCATGGCGTAGCATCGGTTAAGTGTGTTCCTGGCTTAAAGATCTCTTTAGTTTGGTATCTTGTCTTTATTTTTCTTCCGGTCTAATGGTAACTTTTTGTCTAATACTGTGTTTAACACGCCATTTTGTATCTGTGTGTCCTGATAGAGGATGTAATACAGCCAAGCATTTCAAAATATGAAAGGGCCATATTCGCTACATCCAATGATCCGATATGTCTAAATATGTAAAGCTAAGAATTTAAACATATACAACAATTTAGCAATATCATTTAAACAACCTTTACAAAGGAATGAATAAATTATAGTGAAAATTCACCTACCTGGCACCTGTAGAACGAATCTGGAGAACATTTTTCGCACTTTTTTATATGGCCATTTATTTTGTGCTTAATGAGATCCTTAACCATGATAAAAGACGGACTCCAGATGAATGGCTCTGCGAACAGACAGTCGCCATTTGATATGGTTAAATTGTTTTTCGGTTACTTACTGTCTGACAAGAACAAATAAAAAGAAATAATATTCGAAAGTGTTCTACAATCCAAATTATATATGTACCCTACTATATGTATTGTACAAAAGGATGACAAGTTAGTAGTGCACCGTTTTGTTGACAACTCATCATAGAAAGAAAATTTAATATAAAAATTTACTTAAAAGTTTTTATTTGAGATAAAAAAGTCAGTGTCACGAGAGGGATTTTTTATCTCAACTAAAAATCTTAATTAATGAGAGAGAGAGAGAGAGAGAGAGAGAGAAAGAGAGGCAAGAAAGAAAGAAAAAAGAAAGAAAAAAGAAAGAGAGAGTTGGGTAGATAGAAAGAGATAGAGAGAGAGGGGGTACGAAAGAAAGAAAAGAGAAAGAAAGAGGGGTTGAGAGAGAGGAAAGGAGGAAGAGAGGGAAGATGGTGAGAGGGAGAGGGGGAGAGAGAGAGAGAGGGCACGAAAGAAAGAAAAGAGAGAGAGGGGGTGGGAGTGGGAGAGAGGGAGGAGGAAGAGAGGAAAGAGGGTAAGAGGGAGGAGGGAGAGAGGGTGAGGGGGAGATGGTGAGGGGGAGAGGGGGAGGGAGAGAGGCTGAGGGAGAGAGGGTGAGGGAAAGAGGGAGAGTGAGAGGGAGAGAAAGAGAGAGAGAGGGTGAAAGAATTCGCATAAATACTTCTACATAGAAAGGTCAGATCTTATCCTTCACAAGAAGTTCTATATCGTCAATATAGAGCATAATCTAGGACATAAAAGTGCACTAGTTCTAGGACCTTTTACTACTAATGCAGAAAATAATGGGACTTAGCACAGCACTCTGGGGGACACCCTGTTCCTGAATATACTCCTCTGACAATTCTATATCCAAGAATTATAAATAAACTGTAGGAGATACGCCAAAACTGGCAAAACAAACATTTAGTAGCATTTTGCCATTATTTAGCATCTGTTTTCGTTAAAGAAGATTTCTATTTGTTTATTTAAGAAGAAGAAGAAGAAGAAGAAGAAAAATAACTTTATTGTGGGACTGGTGTACCCTAAGAATAATTTACATGAAATAAATAAAGGAAGTTCCTTCTATGAAGTTAAAAGTAAAAAAAAAAAGATAGAAATCTTGGCACAATGTATACCAGAAGAAAAAAATACGAGAATATTAAACAAAAATAACAAATGTTAACGTGAGGTCTCTGCTTGGAGGGAGAGGAGGTGATTATACAGGTGGGATTTAAAGGAGGAAAAGGAGGCAGCGTGACGAATAGAAAGGGGAAGGGAGTTCCAGAGTTTAGGGGCTCGGATCAGAAAGGATCTTTCGAAGGTATGGATTGCATGTTGTGGAAGGATAAGGTCGATTGTGGATGAGCGGGTCTTACGAGTGAGATGTGAGGAGTTGAATTGGAGGGATTGGATGATGTAAGGAGGACGACGAGTGTGGATGGACTGGAAAAGAAAGCAACCTAGGAAATACTGTGCACGGAAGGAGGGGAATAGCCAGGAAAGGAATACAACCCCGACACCCGGGATCCCCGTGGGGTGCCGTACACAAATCTTACGCAACAATTCAAACATTATTTAGTTGTCAAGTTCTTTATGTACATCAGGGCTTGCCAAACTGTGGTCCGCCGACACGAACTAGGGGGTCCGCGGCGAACTTCGAGAAAAATTAATAATTACAAAAATAAAGTACAATGAAAAAATATAATTTAAAAACTAACAACAGCGTAATGAAAATGAAAGTTTTTAAATAATTATTTATTTATTCTACGTTTATGTTTGCACAGTTAAGCAAAAAAGGTAAGGTAAATGAAACGGACTGGACTTGACCGGACGGTCGTTCGGTTTCCAACAATAGAAATTGTTGATACTTGATCCAGCAAGCTCAAATTCTACAAGTTTCCGAATAGGTGCAGGTCAAATAGCCAGGAGAAAGGGAATATCATAAAAGCGTTACTACCACGACACCTTGGTTTGGGATTTATAGAGGCTGGTGAGTATAAATCTAGTGTGTGATTTGCAAGAAAATCCTTCAAAAACTAACGAAATCCTTTGGTCAAATTGACCTGTGCACAGATGGCACAAAAGCAATGACTGGCCAAACGATCGGAGTGATTACTAAAATAAAATATAAATCAAAGGATTGCGGCAAAAGTCATTGTTCTCCGCAGACATACTTTAGCATGAAACAACTGCCAGCCACTTTTAAGAATGTTTTGGATGATTCTTTTCAAATTATTAATTATATCTAGTCGCCGCCTTGAAGACAAGACTCGTCACAATACTGACGGGAAGCTTTCATCATTACCAGCTTCTCCATGCAGAAGTGAGGTGGCAGTCTCGTAGAAAAGCATTTTCCCCATTACAGGAATTACATTCTGACGTTTTATCTCTGTTGATGGACCACAAAGTAAAATTGGCCAACGTTTTCAATAACGAGAAATGGCAATGTATACTGTCATATTTATAAAATATTTCCATTAAAATGATTGAGATGAGGCTTTCTTTGCAAGTTACACATCTTTCGACGCCTTCCAACGAAAAATCCAGTTTTGGGCCGAATCCGTTGAGAAGTATGAGGTGGAGGGTTTTCATGTGTTAAATGATTTTTTATTAATGTTTAAATGATTCATGTGTTAATGTGTTAAATGATTTCAGAAAATAAACTGGAGATTGCGATCGGCACGTCGGTTGGTGAAATATGTGAACACCTTCGAAGTTTGGAGATTTCCTTCGAGCACTACTTTTCAACAACTCGGGATAAAATGAGACAAGACCATGAATGGGCGATCAAACCGTATTCAGTTTCGAAAAAGTACCCGACATCCGTCTTTAGCTATCCAAAATTAAACCCAACATATCCAAATTGTGCAGGCTAAAACAACCTCATTCTTCTCATTAATTCATTAATCATTAATGTTCAAACTATAATTTTTTTTGGGGGGGAGACCGCGGTAGCCGAGTGGTTAGCATGAGAGACTCTCACGCCACGGTCGTGGGTTCGATTCCCACCGTCGCCTCTGGCCCTTTTTTCCCGATAACCCCCAATTTGAACACACAAGAATTCGTACTATGGCTAATATGCAAGATCATAAGGCCAATATATATATAAAAAAAAAAAATTAATTTTTAATATTGGCTAGAGTTTTTTTTTACCTACCTATTGATTCCGTTCTGTCCAATATGATTCCGTATTTTTTATATAAAGTTAAGTATGTCAATCTCATGTTGTTTTCTAGTAATATCCCCCCCCATCATCTAATTAAGAATGGACTGGCTGATTGATAAAACTTTAATTTACTACATACCATAAGTATCTAATTTTACATACTTGGATAAGAAGGGTACGCCCACGATTTTATTCTGTGAAAGGGGTTCATTGGATAAAAAGTTTGGGGAGCCCTGCACATCATTGTTTAGTTTTCTGAACGTTTTAGATCGTCCAGGATAGTACCTGAATATATTTATCGTATCGGTTTATTTCTGAATGTCAGGGTTGGATGACTTTGTACTAAAATTGAGAAATATCTTACATACTCGGATATGATTCTTTAGAATAAGAATGTTTTATATCAGACCGACCTCTGTGCTTTATAAACGAAAATCGAACTATTTCCCTAGTGCAGTGAGCAGGTTATTTAAAATTATTTAACAAAGTGAAATAAAATTTAATGTATTCCAAGAAATAAAACTCCCAACTCGAAAAGGAATAAGAGATTGTGAAAAGCGATAACCGAAATTTTTAAGTATTGAGAAGAAATGAATAGTCCAATAGTAAGAAAACAATTAATGCAATTTTTTGGAGAATGAAAATTGCTGCTATTAACATTTCTCAATAGAAATACACTTCTCTGTTTTTTTAATATTAAAATTAAATTTCATATAATCTGTCTTAAGAAAAAACTTTAAAACAATCGTTTATCCCTGTAAAGAAAGGACTTGATTACTGGCCAGACGAGGGTCTGCAAGACAAATAGACCCAGATTTTATAATAACAAGATCAAACATGGGATGTTTTTTAGAATGGGTTTATATTGTTATGCAAAGAAAGTTTGAAGAATGTTGCGTAAGACGATAACATTGCTATTACCCAGATCTTTCCTGTGGACCAAGGAAAAGTTCAATTTAAAATTAACTTCAAATTAACTGAGATCTGGTCATGAACAAGAGAAAATGTGCATAGCTTCCATGTAGCAGATGATCTCTTCTGAAAGTGTAACAATAACTTGACAACCATGGCAGCACGCAGTCTGACTGTGACCTGTTCGAAGAAGAGAACGAAGTGATCTCTTATTTATATACATAAAGAGATTTTGTGCCATAGAAAAACTTAAACGAGTTTAAAAAGTGAAAAAAGTCCTCATAAGATAATCAGATACGAGATGGTACATAGATGGCTCCAAAACAAATTAGGGAACGGGATTAGATATTTTCTGTACAAGCTGAAAATATGCACTATCCAACTCATTAGGGAAGTAAACTTCGTTCTTTCAAGCTGAAATACATGCCATCAATGCTTGTGCTTTATAAAATCATAAGAAAGATTACAGTCAGATAGCCAAGCAGTTATTAAAGCATTAGCATATAAAAAGTTCACATCAAAAGTAGTCAGTGAATGCATCCAAAATCTCCAAATCCAGGGAAACACCTCTTGGGTACTAGGACACAAGGAATTTTGGGTAACGAAAATGTAGACAAACTAGCCAAATGAGGTTCTGCAGGAAATATGTATGTATGTATNGCCCAAGTAATTGGTAACGACCCGACTGTTGTGAGCGGGGAACCGTCTTGCTGGGACCACATTCTTCGCCTGGTCTTCCGTCGGGCATAAATGGTCGATCTTATCAAAATTTTCCTTTCAGTAAAAGAGGTATGAAATAAGCTCTAGAATAGAATTGTACAATCGAAATATGGGATTCTCATTTCAAATAACAAAGTTAGAGTCATTTCCCAGGTAGATGAGAAA